TCTTTTGTTTTTATTTGATTAACCGAAGGCATGCATTTGGACCGCCTCCGTAAAGTCACGATTAACCGTGAGCTTTGATTGAGAGGTGGTTGCAATGTAAAGTCAACGATTAATCGTGAGCTTTGATTGGAGCCCGGTTGCAATGCTGTCTCCATTAACCCTTTTGCCCGCCTCCATTAAGATTTCTGTAGTAGTGTACTCTAATTTCCAATTTAAGAGGCCTGAACCTATCTAAAAACCATATGTGGATGGACGACATGTCCTTATTTGTGTACATTCTACATATCTATCGAGATTCATTTGCACTTCTAGATTAGCAGCCTATTACATTTGGTCGATAAGTCCGTTTGGGCTGGTTTATGCAGCTGATTTGTTGTGAGAGAAAAACACATGCCATGGCTAATAAGCCTCGGCTGTGAAATGAACAAGCGAACAGGTAAGATTCCAAGACGACGAGGTTGAGAGATTATCACAAGATGATGCACAATAACTCCTCTGATGCGTTCACTTGATGTACAGTTCCTAGTTGCAACAAACACTAAATAACACTGCGATACAATGATATTTCCATCAGTGTATGCGCAACGCAACAACCACCAACAGAGTTTTAAAAACACCAAAACTAAGTCTCAGCTGGTGGTGTAAGATCTAAGTTGCTGCACAAATTCATCAATGTACCTCTCGTGGAGCTCCTTATCAGCTACAACCTCTCTTGCAACTTCATGGCGTTTTGACAAACACTCTCCTAGTATCTTCTTCAACCATAACGGCGCGGACTGCTTTTGCGAAGCCCTTGCGGTTGAAAGACCCATCATCTTCGTCCCTGGGCACCTGCAACCCTACCTTCCTCCCCTCCATGAGCCGCGCGTTCGGACCTTGGTCGCCGGAGATCGGTAGCATGATCAGAGGGTGCCCATACAGAAGCCCTTCAATAAGCGAGCTCCGTCCACAGTGCGTCAAGAACGCGCCGACGGCACCATGTGCCAAGACGGTGTTCTGAGGGACCCACCCCATGGTCACCAGCCCATGTCCATGGGTCCGCTCTTGGAATCCCGGAGGCAGGACGTCCATGTCGTCAGGAACGCCCCTGGGTGGCCGCATAGCCCAGACGAATCGCGCTCCGGCCATCTCCAGCCCATGAGCCATTTCATGCACCTGCTCCACGCGCAGCGCGCACTCGCTGCCGAGCGCGACGTACACGACCGACTTGGGTGGCTGCGCGTCTAAGCCAGCGCACGGTAGCGTCGTCCCTGTTCATGCCAGCGCCACGCCCTCCGTCCGGCGACGGCGGCAGGAAGCCGAGCGGCTTGCCGAGGAGCGCGGCGGCATGTGAGAAGACCACGGGCTCCCACTCCGGGGCAGCTCCGGATGGCAGTGATCGTGCAGCTCTCGAGCGCCAAGGTGATGCGTCGGACGACAGACATACCTTTCATCTCATGGGGGTGAACAACCCCGTCACGTTCCTTTCCACTCGTACCGCGGCATGCCCGCCGGTGGCTCTTCTACAGCTACAGAGGCCGGCTGCTCAAATATGGAGGCAGCGGCGAGCTCTGTGCAGTCCCTTGCGCCGCATGCAAAGGCAGATATCACGGCTGCGGATGAAACAAGCATCGCGCACGGCACCTTGTGCTGCAGGGCGACGGTGGCAGCCCAGTGGGTTAACGTGTCGGCGACGATCCAGTCCTGCCTGGGCCGGTTGCCCTCGTCGGCGCTCAGGAACTCCGCGAAGGGCGCGGCGAGGCCATCGAAGGCCTCGAAGAGCGGCTCGAGCCGGTCGCCGGGGACGTCGTTGGTGGACTCAGCGCCCTCGGGAGGCCCTCCACGCGCGGGAGCGGCAGCGTCACGAGGTCGATGGTGTCGGCGTGGCGCCGCGCGGGGAAGCGCGCGAGGTTTTTGGGCGTGGAGAGGAAGGACACGCGGTGGCCCACGTGACGCCAGGCGCTCGGCGAGCTCCAGGTACGGGAGGATGTGGCCGAAGGCGAGCCATGGGCAGATCACGACATGCAGCGGCGGTGAGGATGGGGACCTGGCGTCGTCCATGGCGAGGACGGGAAGGTGTAGGTGTGCGTGTGTGACCGTCGATGATCAGCTGGAGCTACACACAGTGTGGTTTGTGCAGCTGCAGTTAGCCCAGCGCCCTGTTTTGTTGTCCGCCTCCCTCTCACTCTGCGTTGTAGTAAATGTGGATTCTTCGTGTAAATTTTACTCTTCCACATGCGGGTCATGTGCACGACTAAACAAAGCCATTGATACCCCAAGCCATTTGCATGAAACCAAGAGCAACCAAAGTCCATGGCGACAACCTGTCAGTTCTGACTCTGACGTGCGGCCGGCCGGTCTGAGGAAAGAAGGAATTGTTTTTCTTTTACAAGAAACTATGCCTCTATTGTTGTAGCCCATATTAAATTCTGATGTCAAGAATCTAAAATAAATTACTAATATTAAATTGCGTATTTTCACTTTGTTCATTTTCCAACACAATAGGCTCAATAGATACAATGTTGTCTCTATCTTGTTGCAGTCAATGTGTCAGTTACTAATCTATATGTTTTCCATTTACATCCCACTACTGTAGAAAACTTAATCGAGGGCGGGCAAAATCAAGTAACCGGGGCGGGCAAGCCAAGCGCCTCCATCAAAAAGGTCACGGTTAATCGGGCCTTAGCGAGTGCCTCGATTAATCGATTAACTTGAAGACGGGCAAGTTAAGGTGGCGGCCTCGTTAATCACATTAACCGGCGAGCGTCTTAAAATGCCATACAAAGCTTAATATTCAGCAGAAACCCAAAAACCAATAAAACTTGCGACTTTGTAGAATCGAACCCACGACCTAGCGCTAATATTAATATTTTATAATCTTATATTGGATATTTTAGCTATTAAATGAACTCAAATGAAAAAACTTTTAACTACATAGTTTTAAATCTTGTGAAGTACTTGTATCTCCATCAAAGACAGTTTGAAAAAATTCAAAAATTGAGTCTCGAACATGTAAATTTAAGACACATATTTGAGACTCTAGGTGACTTTAAATAAAAATCTTGTCAATATCAAACATGTAGATCAGGGATGCCACTAGAACTTTAGTATTAATTATGTGAACATTTGAGATCGTTTAGGAATTCAAAATTTTAAATTTCAAAATCTATAACCTTGAACCCATATTTATGACTCTAAATGTCGGGGTTCATAAACCCTGGGTCCCTCATGGACCCGGCTTCCCAACAAGGTTCGGTACTGGCGAGGGCAGCGTTGGAAACAACGCGCCTTCGTAGGCCAGCCTGCGCGTGAACAACAGGCCGGGAAGGCGATCAATCACCGACCGAAAGGCTGGCCGAGGAGGAACGACGTCCGAATTTCCGACCGGCCCACCTCTCGGCGGAGCACTTCGCCCGATCTCCGGCCCGCCTCCAGACGACCTATCCGACCGGAAGGCTGGCCAAAGCACTACTTCCGACTTGACCGCATTTCCGACCAGGGATGCGCAAAATCTGCTCACCGCTCTTCTCCAGCGGTAGCGATCGAAGTATTGGGACTAACCCCATTGGGGACACCCTTTCGGTAAGGACCGAGAGCGGATGAAAGAAAGTAGGCGGGCGACAAGTCAAACCGCAATACAGGGGTTCATACCACCATACACTGCGTAAAGCAGTGCCTACTCTGCAACCTCCACGCACAATGAGCCCAAGCGGTGTTGTAGGCGCCGACATTTTCCCTATAGTATTGTGGGCGCCATTAACTCCCATAATGTAAGGCCCCCACGCGGCCTTTACCATACCGGGAGAATATGGTAAAACCCTTCACGAACCTCCGGTATCAGCAGCGGTGTGGCGGTAAGCGACGTCGCCATATACGAAGAAAACAACACAACCTCCATTTGCATCCGACATCCAACAATGTTCAAGGTCGCCTACCATCATCTGTACATGCTTCTTGGGGGGCAACAAGGCTTAGAAGCATATCGTACTCTCTCCCTCTCACTTGTAAGGCCATCCCTTCATCTATAAAGGGATACGGTCTCTCCCAAAAACTCAGTTCATTAAGCTCGATCGATTCATTAGATCGATCAAGTCTACTAGTTTACAACCACAGAACACTTGAGTTCAAACCCGAAGCTTACATGCTTGAACACTTAGCTCATAAGCGGGGCTCTCGTCACTCTCGGCCCTTCAAACCGAATGTCATTTGGACCTCTTGTACCCTATCTTTCTCCTTCTCGTTTGTAACCCTACTGCAAACTTGAGCACACAGGCTCAGGAATAAAAGTCACCGACAGAACTCAAAGCCGGACGTAGGGCACATTGCACGAACCGGTATAAACCACCATGTCATTGAGTGCTAGGCCACCTCCGATCTAGCGTCTGACAAAACTACAAATATTTTTTATTGATCACTTTACTTGCAAGCAGATTTTGGCGTCATCAAGTGGCGAAAACATTTGTATGTTCAACACTTTTTGGTCATCGGATGGCCCACTTTTCCGCCACCTTCACCATGGAGGGCTCAAGCGTCTGAATCGCTTTGGCTCACTTGGAGTTTCCCTTTACCACCTATTGGGATGTGGGTTCCACTGCCTTGAGCCATCCTAGGCCTTCCTCTTGAAGCTTTGGACCGTCGCCGACCAGCTCGGCATACTACACCTCCAGAGAGAGGCACTCGTTTCGGCGCCCGTCGGAGGCACCTCCATCGGCTCCAAGGCGCACGATGACTTCAAGCGAGCGAGGCATCTGCGCTTCATTACGAGCAAACTCTACTGCTCAAACTCCATTTGTAAATAATATGCATACTATTATTTACTCTCTATTTACTATCTCTCGCCGATTATCTGGAGGGACCGTATTGACCGCACCACAAATACCGTACGACCGGTTCTCCTACGGCCTCGCGTCCCCTGCGGACACGTGCACTCGGGGGGCTTGAAGGGCCTTTGCCGCCATGCCCTCTTACATCTGAATTCATGTGGATGGCGAGCTATCTGCTACCACTTTCCACGAACTCCCGGATAACGAGGGTGAGGTGGCGGCTCAACATCGGCGACGTAGCACCTAGCCACCGTCCGTCCGAGAGTGTGCTATGGCGAGCGCTCCATTCTGACCGGCCGGTCTATCGGACTCTGTGTAGACTCACACCCCTCTGGACCCACGTGTGGGGCCCTCACGTTCTTGAAAGTACCGCTAAGGAACTACAACAGCGGTGGCAAAACCAGCCGCCGCTTTGTGCGGCGGCGCTTTCGGTGCGACTACGTTGTTCCCCATCTGCTTATGACCCGGCGGGCGGCGCCTGGGGTCGCGTCAGCCAGGTCCAACACGACATCATGAACGAGGGGAACGATTTCCCATAGTTCACTCGGGCTTGTCAGAACATCGCTGCTACGGCAATGCTTGTGCGCGGCGTTCTCGAGCCCATCGACCCCCAGGAGCTGGCGGTCTATCGGAACCTCCGGGTGCTAGTAGAAGCCACCGCCGTTCAACAGGTGGAAAGCTCTACATCGCGACTCCGACCGTGCCTGTATCCCCCTTTGGGGAAGTGGGGGCCGCGCGCCAGACGGATCGCTCCGTCAGCCGCCGCCATCTGACCACCAAGTGCGGCTCGGGAGGCATCGGCCGCACCATGGTCCGACTGGCGCTGCTCCCACCATTGAGGGGCGGTCATAGCGCCATCGACAACCGGCATCAGAACTGGCATGATGATGATGACCACCGAAGGCGATGATGAGGCGGTGGCGGGTCCCGTCCAAACCATTGAGGGGAGGCGGTGAAACACGCCTTTGAGCATGGTCGCCGGGCAAACAACCGGAGTCCCAGCCACGAGGGCCTAGGACCATGGGCCTTTGACACGTGTATCCGGAGAGTGCCGTTCCCAGTAGCTCCGACCACCCACCAACATCACCAAGTACTTTGGGGAGACAAAACTTCGGTATTTGGCTCGAAGATTTCTGGCTCGTCTGCTGAAATTTGGAGGGGTGGATGATGACTATTTCATCATTTAGTATCTCCCCATCTGCGTGGGGAACATGTTCGAGCATTGCTTGAATTCCTCCCTTGCACACGGCATTCAGCAATGGGCGGACCTCAAGAGGGTATTCGTCGGAAATTTCTAGGGGCGTATGTTCGCCTAGAAACTCCTAGGACCTCAAGAGTTGCCGGCCAGGAGCTTAGCGAGTCCCTGCAGGATTACATCCGTAGAGGTTCTCCCAACGATGCAACTCCCTCCACGATGTCGTCGTGGCGGCGTCATCGGCGCATTCCTCTCTGGGGGCGACTGCGAGTCCACGATCCACAGCTTGGATGCTGAAGCCCCGTACCACCCACGACTGCTCGGCGTCGCCACTAACCATGCCTCTGGCGATGAGGCGATTGGGCGGTCTTCATTGGAGAAAGTGGGACAAAGGCAAGGCCAAGCGTGCGGACCAAGACGAGGGCCCCTCCACACAGAGGGGCAAGAAGAACAAAAATGACCGACACCAACCGGACAACACCGCGTTGGTCGCTGCAACTGACTGCACGAGCAAGTAGCCCCAACAGGGCCTGCCTGACCACTTCAACAAACTCATGGGATAGCCCGTGCATGAACCATGCCTACCCCGTCAAACACCTCTACATGGACTGCGAGCTCCTCAAACATTTCCTCCGATAGACCGGCGGGCCAAAAGAAGGAGACGGCAAAGAAGCAGTAGCCAAGAAAGGAAGTGCGAAGGGAAAGGACGGAGACGGTTTCCCTGACCCTGAGGAATGCATCATGATCTGTACAAGGTGCGCTATAGGGAGGCATGTGCCACCAAGACGGCCGTCCCCTTCTTCCTCAGCTGGTCGGAATCTTCGATCACCTTCGATCAGAGGGGCCATCCCTCCCACGTCATGAGACCGGGATGCTACCCGCTCGTCGTCGACCCCATCGTCCGTAAGAAGCGCCTCACCAAAGTCTTTGATGGGCGATGCAGGCGATGGCCTCAACATCCTCTCGTCGACACCCTCGACATCTTGCGCATCCCCGGTGAACTCCGCCTTGCAGTTTCTCCCTTCCATGGGGTGATCCCGGGA